TTCAGAAAGAGACAGAGAGAGAGAGAAGAGGGGAGGAGTAGATCTTGCGAGAACTTCCGGGCGGGTGAGAATAGCCACTTTCAAAATTAGTTGAGAACAAATCGACCCATTAGTAGACACACATTAGGCCTACCTAGATCTAGATCTATGTATAAAGCTAAAGATGGTGTTGTTTTCAGACTTGACACCGCTTCACTCGGTGGCAGTTGACAAAAAGTCAATTTTTGTCAATTGCCACCGCGTCACTCGGTGGCAATTGACGCTACCTATTTTATATCTAGATCTAGAATCTAGATCTAGTAGAAATTAGACAACTGGTAGCTGAGTGTGAGACGGGAGGGAAGGTAAAAAAATACCGCTAGATCTACCCACCAATGCAAAAGAGCTCCAATTTACTCGGTGGCAATGATCTAGATCTAGATTTCTAGATCTAGATATATATCTAGAATCTAGATATATAGATCTACAATTTATTCTCGACTTGGCCTTGACTACCACCATGGCCATGGCAGCAATCTCACTTGCCTTTAAAGTTTCTTGTAAAACAACACACACAGTCCAAAAAGTTTCCCATTCAGGAAAGTAGAAAATAGAAAAACGCTGCAATTTAAACATAAAATACCTCCACGGTCCACAGCAAGGGTTAAAAGTATAAAAGTCTTGGACTCCAGTTTCGAGTTTCGATTCGAATTATGCTTGCCTGGCTTCTTGCTTACTTCGGGGAAGTGATGTATGACAGGATTTTTCTCGCTGTTTTATCTTGTTTTGGGATTGGGGGGGGGGGTTTTGGGTGCTGTTGTTAGGTTTTTTCTGTTGTTTTATTCAAATGTTACATAGACTTAATTGTCAATTTTCTATAAGTGTTGTTTTCTACAGAAAATTATACAGTCATTTATAAGAATAGCATCTAAGAATATGAGCGTCTCTAGATCCTCCCAAGACTTCAAGAATTGCACAAAAGGAAGACTAACCCAAAGAGCAGACACTCAATATGGCATATTGCTGCTTGTTCATAATTTTATTTTCCTTTGAGGGAATAAAAAAAGTTTCCCACTTCCCGCGAGATGGTAACCCACCAAAACGAAACAAAAAGCTATAGATCTAGCTTGTGATAGGAAACGAACACAGAATTCTACACTAAGTGTAGAATTCTGTGGAAACGAAGCATCATTATCGGTGTTTTGTTGGGGGCTTTTTTTGTGTGTGTTTTATTTATTTTTTCTGTATTCTGTATTTAATGTTCTAATTTGAGAGAGAGAGAGAGAGAGAGAGA